CCTAAAGACCAAGAGTAGCCCTACAAATAATCCAAGTGTGAGGCCCACACACCTCTCCTTGGCCTGAGAATTAGGGAATGGGGCTCTGTTCTCAGCTACCTGCCCCACCCTGTCTTCTACCCATCTGCTTTTTCATCTGCTTTTCATGGGGCCTAGGCTTGTGTCTCCAGCCTCAGGCTGCTTGTGATCTTTTTGCTCTCCTTAGAGAGGAGTAACTCACTAAGCGGCTGAGGCAGAAATCAGACCAACTGCACAGGTTAGTGCCAATGTGGGGGCAGGAAGAGATACTTCTCTCCCACATCCCAGAACCTAAAACCTATAGGGAACCTTGGAATCCAGCCAGAGATCCAACCCTCACAGTGTTAGCAGAGTGCAGACTTCCTAAATCACACAGGATTCAGCTCCTGGACAACCTCACTCAGCCACTGCCTTCATTCCCTACAATGGAGGCTTCTCCAGCAATTCTGTTGTCTGGAAATTCCAATCCCTTCTGATGTTTAACCTGGGCAGAGACCTCAGAAAATGTTTGTGGGCACTAAGACAGGTTCAGCAGCAAAGCAGGTGACTGCTTGAATGGCCTCATTGCCACATTGTGATGTATGTCAGCAGCTTAGCAGGAAATAAACTAGTGGAGTTTAAACCTCAGTTTGATCCAATCACTCTCCAAATTAACATCTTATTTTTGTTAGTGTTATGTGCAAACATTCTAGCACAAATTCCATCTGTAGTACAGGATACTTTTTGTTCTGAAAAATATCCCAAAATTGACACACTGTCATTTTTACTATCTGTAAAGAGATGCAATTGCATTGACATGACATAGTTTGCAAATCTATCCTTCTGTTACATTGAATTTTTTGGTTGTAATTTTTTTTTAATTTAAGAATAATGTTTCAACAAATATCTTTGAATCAATTATCTTCTTTTTTCATATGATTTGTTTCATTCTGTGTTCCAAAATATTAAATTCCTATATTTTTATACATTTACTTAATTTTTATAATCTTCTGTTAGATAAGAGTACCTACCTATTGAATTTGGAGTAGAATTAAATAGCTAATATTTAAGTACATAATACAGTGCCTGGTGTATAGGGTACATTTGTTAATTTATTAGATAAGTTAATAAAGTAAGCACATAGATAAAAATTCCATATATTTCCTTGGAAAATGTAATGATTTGAATATATGTATACCTTTCAATTAGGATCTATTTATATCTTATATATTCCTTAATTTTATCTATAATAAACTTTCTTTGAACAAATATTTTATATATCAAGTTGAATTCAAATTCAAATATTCAATTTCATTAGTAGTGGGAATAAAAATCATCATTTTCATTCTTTCTTTTAATGATTACTTTGCGTTAGTATACAGGTAATCAATTAATTCAATAATTTGAGTGATATTATATTCTGCACCTTTGCTTAAATATTTCTAACAATGGCTTTATTTCTTTTAATAGCTTAGTTATAAATACATCTTTTGTAAAATGTTATGTTTATATTTGTTTTTTATTTTCAGATAGATTGTTTTTTATTTTCATTTCTAGGGAAATGTTAATTGAGAAATAAGAACTGAGAACATTCATTTCTTCTTCTTTTTTTTTTTTTTGAGACGGAGCCTCAAGCTGTCCCCCTGGGTAGAGTGCTGTGACATCACAGCTCACAGCAACCTCCAATTCCTGGGCTCAAGCGAGTCTCCTGCCTCAGCCTCCCAAGTAGCTGGGACCACAGGCGCCCGCCACAACACCTGGCCATTTTTTGGTTGCAGCAGTCATTGTTGTTTGGCGGGCCTGGGCTGGGGATTCGAACCCGCCACCTTAGGTGTATGTGGCTGGCGCCTTAGCTGCTTGAGCCACAGGCACCAAACCCATTTCTTCTTCTTAAGGAAAATATTGGAGTGTTCTTCAATAATAAAATGTTGACTCATTACATACACAATTTATATTAAAGAAACATTTCTAATATTTTGAGAGTTCTCCTCTATAAAGCAATGATAAATTTATCTGGATGCCTTATCTGGATCTAATGACATTATTCTGATATTTTGCTTATGATAAACTAGGTTAATATATTTCTTTGAGGTTAATAGCTAATATTGTTTTCATTATGTTGCTTTCTTTATTTACAAATATTTTATCAGTGGCATTTGTATTTATGTCTATAAACAAAATCGACATAAAATATTCTTTTCATTGTCCATACTATGTTCAGGATTACAATCATATGTGCCTCTAAACAGGATTGAATAATAGTAATAATAATCATAGTTAATATTCACTGGGTCTGTACTATGTGCAATACACTATTCTAAGCATGTTATGTGCATTTTCTAAATCCTTACAACAGCTTTAGACAGACATTGCCACTATATCCTTTTGTAGATCATGCCATCATTTTCTATATTTCTAAATTTTTGTACTGCTGAATGAATTATTGGTTCCTAGAATGTTAGAAAATTTTCTTCATTGGGATCAGATACCATTTTAGAAACTAGTAACTTTATAGTTTTCTCTAGTAGCATGATATTCATGTTCTCTACTTTTTGACCCTTTGGGGATATTTTATATATTTTTAAATAATCATTTATTTTTATGTGATAAGCTAGAGGGTCAAGGGTGGATCTTTAAACTGGGAGATGTCTGCATGTTGACAGTGGTGATCCATAAACTAGGGGGAAAGCCCTTTCTGCTTTTAAGGAGACTTTCTTAGCTTTGGTTTTCTTAAAACAGAAATCCTTGGAAAGAGAATTTTCCTAAAACTAGAAAGTAGTATTGAGAAGAATTTTCTTCTCCTATATCTATGGAAGAGAACTGGGGAGATTGGAAGTGGAGGGAGAACAGACTTAGCCAAGGCCAGGAAGGAATATTAGCCAAGGAAAGGACAAGCCTTTGTGGGTGCACACCCTGCCTGCCTGCTCACCTGCATTGTCACCCTCAGCGTTTACACAACTGCCACACCAGAACAGACTCTCCCTCCCCAACTTGCACCATTCACCTACTCCAGTCCCAACATGCTTACCCTAGGACTTCCCAGTACATTTACACATATGCTGTAAGTTTAAGATTCCCAGTTACACTTATTCCTGGTCTTTCTGAGAAAATCAAAGCTGTGAAATGAAGAATTGCTTTGAAAACACACTGACCTAGAATTAAATGCTGATGTCTTTGGGAGAAATTATTTAAACCCTTTCTGTCTCAGTTTACTCATCTGTAAAAGAAGAATAATGATGCTGACTTCATCTAGGCTCACGTAAGGATGCAATTATACACAGGTACATGCTAGGTCTGTATATCACACACAAAACATTGCCACAGAAAGTGCTCAGTAAGTGTCAGCTTCCTAGCCCTAGTTATAGATGTGAATGTTTCACATCCGACTAGAAGCTTTTTGTGAATGAGAGAAATATCCTGTATTGTTTCTTTCTCTCACATCACCTAACCAAAGCTCTTTACTGATTAGGGATCAGATGAAGATCTTAGTCATGTCAACTACTGTATATTTATTTACAGTTATTCTTATCAACAGATAGCTTTCTCTTGTCTTAGGCTCTCACACTTTCATCTTATGGTTTTCATTTTCAAAAAAATCCCCACCAAAGAAACAAAAGCATTGGTTCCTAAAAGAATCAAATCGGTAGAATACCAACTCAAAATGAGCCATTTATCTTCCATACCAAGGAACAGCTCTCAGCCCAGTCCAAGAACCCAGCTGAGAGTTCCTGCATAGCTGAGCTCTCCATCCCCACTTTGCCCTGCCCAATTGTGCTGGTAAGTTCTTTGCTCCAAGCAGGCCCAACCTCAGCAACATTATGGCAGGGGCGAAGTCAGTCTCCCAAAACCTATTCTCTTTCTCACCCTCACCCATTGCCCAGAGGTCAGGACTCTACCTCCCAGAGCCCTCCCAGACTGAGGTTCCCATCACCTGTGTCCCATCCCCAACCAGCACACTAACTCCAGTCCTTTCCTTCTTCCCTTCCTCATCATAGATTTGCTTTCTCATAGGACCTAAATCCCACTCCTTCTTGTGAAGCCATAAAAAATAATTTATGCTATGTCTAATGAAACTTCAGCTGAAGTTTCTCTGAACTACTATATTATGAATTCCAATTCAGTGAGGTTCCCCTATGGCTCCTCCATGATCTCTGTGACCTCAGGCAATGTTACACCTGCAGTTTCTCTTTGGTATCTGCAGAGGCAACAGCCAACTGTCTCTCTTCACCTTTCAGAAGGGAGGACACTCCTGGATAAGTTCAGGCAGAAGGGCTGGATGAGCCATCCCAGTCAGCAGGCTATTCTTTCCAGGCTACCCTGACCTTTTCCATTCCCCAGCATCAGCACAGGACCAAGGTACCTGGAATTGATCATGAGAAGCAGCCAAAGTCCCCAGACCTCTGGGCTCTATGGAGTATTGGGAACCAAGGGAGATAAAATATCACAGGGGAAGGAGGTGTGTGGAGAAGAAGGGTGTGTATAGACAATGCTTTCTGGTTCTGCACATTTGCCATTGTGCTCCCACAATGATCTTCAGTTAGCCCTCATAGGGAATGGGAGGAATTACATTTCTGTAGCTTTTTGTTTAATCATGAGACACAATCAGTTGCTCAGATCAAAGAATTAAAGCATAATGAAAATTTGAGGATAAAACAGTCTAAGTAACCCCCTTATTTCTGTCACCAATGAATGCATGGCCATACAACATCAGGATTCTCCACTGAGTAATGGCAGATGGGGCTTAGTCCAGAGCCAACAGAATTTTAGCAGTAACATAAACAAAACCCTGATGTTAAAAGGTATGTCAAGGCCATAGGTATCCTGCTTTTATGCCTTTTTAGGGCTCCCTGAAGGCCCTCTTTGAGGTTTGTACCAAAAAAAAAAAAGCAGTGATGTGACTAGGTGTGAGTTCAGAGAATGCAGATTAGACAGAGGAAGATACGGGAACCTCTGTGTCTCACTCATCTGTGGCTGTCTGGCTCTCTCAGCAGGACAAGTCACCCATGGAGAGCAGGAATCACACAAGCGCTTCTGAGTTTATCCTCCTAGGGCTCTCCAGTCAGCCAGAGAGGCAGGAGCTAGTCTTTGGGCTCTTCCTTGCCATGTACCTGGTTGGCACTGCAGGGAACTTGCTCATGATCCTGGCCATTGGCTCAGATGTCCGTCTCCACACTCCCATGTACTTCTTCCTCAGCAACCTCTCCCTGGTAGATTTCTGCTTCATTTCTGCCACAGTCCCCAAGATGCTTGTGAACATCCAGACACAGACTCAGTCCATCTCCTACAGAGGCTGCCTAGCCCAGATCTACTTCTGCATCCTGCTTGCCAACATGGACAACTTCCTCTTAACAGCAATGGCCTATGACCGCCATGTGGCCATCTGCCATCCCCTGCATTACTCCTCCAAGATGAGTCTGCATGTCTGTGCCCTGATGCTGGGAAGCTCATGGCTCATTGCCAGCCTCCACTCCCTATTACACACCCTGCTCATGGCACGGCTGGACTTCTGTGCCAGCAACATTATCCCTTACTTCTTCTGTGACCTCCTTCCCCTGCTCCAGCTCTCCTGTTCCAACACCCAGCTCAACCAACTCATGATCCTGCTGGTGGGGGGCATGATCGTCCTCATGCCCTTCCTTGGCATTCTTGTCTCCTACACACGCATTGTGTCGGCTGTGCTCAGGATCCCATCTGCCCGTGGTAAACAAAAGGCCTTCTCCACCTGTGGCTCCCACCTGACTGTGGTCATCCTCTTCTATGGGACTATCACAGGGGTCTATCTGAGCCCCTCATCCTCCCACTCTGCTGACAAGGATTCACTGGCTTCAGTGATGTACATGGTGGTGACTCCCATGCTGAATCCCTTCATCTACTGCTTGAGAAACAAAGACATTAAAGGAGCCCTAAGGAAACTGTTCAGCCTGAAAGCTTTATTCTGTGGACTATGACACAGCTGACTTCCCCTTAGGGATTTTGTGATGGGAAGGGAATGGACTCCAGGAGTAGGTGCACAGACCAGGCAGGAGAAACTCAAATCTCATTGTCTTAGATTGTCACCATGGCTGCTCTAGCAGCAATTCTGAGACTTTATGGTACTTCCTTCTCATGTGGAGAAACTGTCCCTTCTTGTTATTTTGGATTTACTTTTGTTTGGATGGAACTTTGTTTTTTCCTTGAGGATATGACTGTATAGAGCAAGGTCATTTGGGTTTGCATCTGGGAGCTTTCAGTGTCCAAGACTCTGTATGAATTCTTCTATTATAGACAGCCTCCGTGTGGTGGATTTCCCAATGCTGGTTGTAGCAGTGCTGTGCTGGGCATCTAAGCAAGCTCCTGGCCTCTTAGCTGAGCTGGGGTCTCATTCCCAAGTGATGTGTCCTTGCGCCTGCAGATTTTGTATTGGGTTGTGAAGTTCGACCTCCAAGCCAGGAGGCAGCACTTACAGGTAAGAACAGGCGTTGGTAGCACAAAGGTCTATGTTTGATCTTTCTTTGCGGGAGCCGCCCTCTGGTTAGAGAGGTCTGGTGGTCCAAGGAGGCCACTGTGGCCTGGGCACTGCTGTCAGTCATAGAAATGGCGGAGAAGCTGTGCGGAGTTTGACCAGGCAAGCCCGCCCTCAGGTCCCCAGTGGTGAGCGCAAGCACCTGCCCTAACAGGGACATCGGGGAGTCTTTGGGCTCCACCGCCTCCACTGATCCCTGCAGGGGGCAGGGGAACCAGGAGAAGGGCTGCCGAGGGCTGGGACCTCCTGCAGTATTTGTGACGTTTTCTGTCACGCCCCCGTCCTGGCGCTGGTGATGTTCGCTTGTGTCAGACACTGTTGTCTATTTCCAGTCTGCAGTATAGCCTAGAGCAGTAGGATCCCGTCCTGCGGCTCAACACTAAAACCTGTGCCCTCTGGAAATGCATTCCCCCACCCACCCTCGTCCTCAAATACACGGCTCTCTTGCTTTCTGGCTCTCCCGCAGTTTGATGGAGGAACGCTGAGCTCTCTGCAGGGACGGAGGGAACCTGCCTTTGTGCAAGCCCAGGCGGAAAACCATATCACAGTTGCCCCTTACAGCCACAGAGAAGCTGTTCTTACCCTCGCCTGTGCCAGAGTCCCAAGGGAGCACTAAGGGCTGTGTCTGCAGCAGTGAGGGGCAGAGGGAGAGAAGCTCCTTCTCTATGCCTGGGCTCAAGCAAAGAGGTCACTTAGCAAGTGAGATATGATTGCACTCCCCCACATACATTTTGTGCCTCTGCTGAAAATGGAATACCATTCATAGCCCCAAGTAAGGGGCTCTCAGGCACTGAAAAGTGCTCCCTTTGATTTCCTCAGTGAGCTGTACTTTCTCTTCCCTTAGGAGGAGCACTCCCTGCCAGCTAGAGGACTAGAAATCATGCAGTTCCCTTGGGTCCAGCAGCACTAGGCCACTGCTTCTCTCTGATCTTGTGCTGGGGAACATCAGCAGGAGCTCCCTAGATGTGATGACACAACAGCTGAGATTCCCTGATGTTACAATCCTCTGTGGCTGCACCCCCATAATGGCACCCTGCCCCAGGAGCTCAAGTCTGTGGAGAGAGTGAGCAAACTGGTGTGAGTTTCCAATCTGATGTAATGCCCTCAAGATATCCCCCAAATTACCACTCTCACTAGTGTCCCTTCATCTACTGCCTAAGGAACAAGGACGTGAAGGGAGCTCTGAGTAAACTATGGGCTGTGACCTAGCAGATTTTCCCCTCAGGGCCTTTATGTTGGGAAGGGAATGAACCCCAGGAACAGGTGCACAGACAGGGCAGGGTTAACTCTTGGGCTGGGGAGTGCCCATCGCTATTCTAGGAGGTCATTTACAAGTCTGAGACTGTGTCCACTGTACAGGGTACTCCCAGAACACTAAGAAAGGAATAAACTCTCCCCTAAAGTCTTAGAACCACATAAACAGATGCAAATTTATCTGCACCTGCACATCTTCTGGAGAATATGGAAAGGTCATACATTCCATGTTAAAGACAAACTCACAAGGGTCTGAGAACAGTGCTACTGGCCAATGCCAAAGAAATGCTTCTGACAGCTGCCATGGCTGCCCTCAGTTCCCAGTCCTCAACCTTCATGTAGCCTGATTTCCTGTTCTCTGCATATACTGCCTCTGTCACCCCACTGTATCCCCATGTTCTGTATTGAACCCAGCTGCAGGGACAGGCTTCACTGTCTTCCTGGAAGCTGTCCCACTTCTGGGCTTGCCTTCTTGCTGGAGGATTCCTGCAACTCCAGGCTCTCATGCCAGGAGTACCAACAGTGACTGTCCCCCACTGACCCTGCTGAGCCCTGAGCAGACCCCACACTGTCCCACCATGTGCTCTCTTTATTCTAGGAAAGAAAGGTCTGCCATCCACATGGTAAAGAAAGAAGGGAGACCTGGCCTAGCATTGCTTCTCTGGGCATGAAGAATATGAAGAGAATAAGCCATCATAACCCTCATGAATGAGCTCCTCCACAAGTTTTCCTGAAAGTGACACAAGAGAGAGAAATGTCTTATAAAGATGGGTGGTTTCCTACATAACAGAGTAATATCCTGGGCTGCAAGGGGTGCAGTGGAAGAAAAATCATTTCTCAGAAGGTCACTACAACTGGCTTCTAGTCCAGGTCCCTCCAATTTCTGGCCATTTTGCCCTGCTCCAATAAGTCTAGAATTCACCATTCTACCAAACATGCTGTTTCTATTTATGCTGTTCATACTAGTCCATCCTGCTATTTCTATAAAATTCTATTCTTCTTCCAAGTCTGAGATCAAAGATGATGTTCTTCATGAAGCCACATCAAGGTGTTCCTTTCCCCTCTAGAGCACCATACGACTCCAATTCTATGACGACATTTTCATGCTCTTCTTGGCATCTTTCATGTTCACCCCAATCTCTACCCCAAATGGGATTGCTGAGTCCTTTTAAGTTTTATAAAAAGACCTCATTGATCTTAATAATCACATACTCAGAAGAATCTATCATGGTACCTGGTTTAAAACAATGACTCAACAAAAGGATGTCGATGATAATGATGGTGAGATGATGACAATGACAACAGCAAGAACACTTATGATCTTCTCCCCCGTGATTTTGCCTTAACTAATTCCCTTTCTATCTCTGACCTCACCAAAAGAAAAATAATTACATATCCACTCGGTTAGAGCCCAAGGAGATCTTTGGGCCCTATCCCATGAAGGGCAGTGTGCCCCACAGTTTCAGCATCTGGGGATAGAGCTGTCTTCCAGCCTGGATTTGCCCTCTTCTACCCATATGTCTTGCTGGAGTCCCCCACTTGGGTGCCAATCAGAAATCTCCCTCTGTCCACCATGGGCCTGAACCCACAAGTCTTCAACTCAGATTTAGACCTCAGAATGGGCAGAACAGACCTAGACTATTTTCCAGTTCACCTGTTCCTAATGAGCACAATGATCGAGGATCTGGGGCATGGTTTAGAAGCTAATAAAGTAGTACTTGAAACCAGTGATAGCTACTGTTCCCAGAGTCTCCAGGGTCTGGGATGTTTGGGAGAGCAGCATTCAGGCATTCCCAGGTCTTTGCCCATAAAACCACAATAATAGCAACAAAATCTCACCTCAAACCCACAAAAAATTGACATCAGCATGAAGAAAAGGTCTTCCCTCAGTGTGCATTTGCTATTATGTGAAATAATGAAGGGATTTGGCCCCATAGGGAAAAAAATGAATTGAACAGGAAAAACAAAGAGGGTCAGCAATTAATAAATATGAGCAACCTAGAGCTAACCTTGCTCGTGGTGGTTTATAGGGAGACTTCCTGGCTCAGAGTCTTCTCCCAAAGAAGAAGAAGATATTTCTTCTCTTATGGCAAACACCTTTTCAGACTGGCTCTAGTCTTGGCCTGGGGCTGCTTGCTGAGGACTTCAGGGAGAGGAACATGCTCCTTGTCATCCTCAAACAGTGCAACTATAGAGGTCAGAAGTTTAGTCATTCTTAGGAATTCAGGAGCTCCTATAAACTCACCAGAATTTTAATTTTTATTTCAAAAATAAATTGCCTTAAAAAAATAAAAATAAATAAATAAATTGCCTTTTATAAAAATATGAAAAAATCTTTACAACATTCACATTAAAATGGCCTAATTAAGGACTACTAATGGAAAAATAGATATATACTCATACATAATGAGAATAATAAATATCTCCTGTGCAGTAATTTCCAAGTCGCATAATACTCTCACTTTCTTACTGTCTCTGTTCAACTTGGCTGCCTCCTCCAAGCCTCAGGGCTAAAGGTACATCCATTGAACAGTACAGTTTGCACTCAAGAGACTATTATGTGTCAGGCACCATTCTAGGTAGGAGGGATATACCAAAAAAGAAAACAAAGTTTGTATTTTCATGCAGCTAATGTTCCATGGCATCAAGTTTAGAATAGGGAAAACAAAACAAGTTTACGTCAGCAGTAAAGGTTTAAAAAGAAAAGTGTTTTTTATTTATGACAGAATAAAGATCGTAGGAAGTGGAATAGTAGGGAGTGCTACTGTGGAAAGGTTGTAGTACAGTTATCTATTGCTTAATAACAAGGAATCTAAACTTAGTGGCTCAAAACAGTAGTATTCACTTATTTTCTCTCTCACATTTCTGGGGGTGACTGAGATGAACTCATCAGATTTCCCCACGAGAGCACTAATGTTTTTGCTGTTAAATGGGCTGGAGCTGGAGTCATCTAGAAGGATTCCTCACTCCCATTTCTTATGGCTGATGCTGGCTGTCAGCTGGGGTCATAGTGGGGGCTGTTGCCAGAACACCTATGTAGTCTATCAATGTGCCTTGGGCTTCCTCACAGCATGGAAGCTCTGTATCAAGGGTAGGCATCTCATATATTGCCCTTTATGACTCATTCTGGGAAGTAACAAAATATCACTGCCTTTACATTGTATTTGTTAGAAGTGAGTCACTTAGGTGAGA